CACCCTGACAACAAGACCAAGTTGTGACAACGAGGTCAACCCACATCTACAAGGCGAATTTGTTCACATTTATTTTTGGAATGTACCGTTTAGGTGTTTGCTTGACAAAATGAAAATATATGCCATAATATAAACCTTTATTTTAAAGTAAAATAGGGCATATAATTTGGGTTTATAGCATTTCTCTTACATTGACGTCATATTTACAGTCGCTTCTTCTATCAGTGTTGTCATTGTATAATACCCATACTGTGATATGGCCTTCCAGCTTTAAGGAAAAGTGGCATTAAGGAATTCGTGATGTGGTCTAACTGGAAATTGAAGAAAGATCTGCACGTAGTGAATCTGTTGTATTGTGCAGAGAGGTCCTCTTCTCATCGTCCTGCGACCCTGATGAACCTGTGCCAAGCTTTCTTCTGTACTTTGAATGACATCTTCAGACCAGGAATTTATACTTTACGAAATAGAGAAAAAATATAGTAAACCAACTTACTTTATTTTGTAAAGTATGAATTCTTGTTCTGATGATGTCTGTCGCAGTATAGACAAAAGCTTACCACAGGCTCATCGACGCCCCAGGACGATAAGCCGAGGACTTCTTCGCCCAATTCAACAGGCTATGCAGCAATCTTCCTTCGGTTCCAGATCAAACCATATCACGAATTTCTGTATAGTTAGAATGACAGAATGAGCTCATACAATTCTCATATGTTTATCGAACAAGTTAGACTCGTCCGTTGCAAAAAGGTTCGGTAACGTCACTATGTTACAGTAATCGAAAAAGTATCATAAAAGTCGTCGCGTTGCAGAGTTGAAGCTCATTGTTAAGGATCGGAAGCACTGACAATACGGAAAGATGGGATTCGCATGAAAATATAGTTGGTAGTAGGAATGATGGCTAAATTGCCCTCAATTAATCAAATGATTATTGCAACGATCAAATAATATATATTTTTGCTTTATGTATTTTTATTGTCTTGAACAATAATTTTTGGGTAATTTACTGTGAATTCCAGACTTCGACAAACTTCATAAATGTCTTTTCAAGGAATAGCGCAAATATATAACTGCTGTTTATATTCTTCTATTTGGATTTTATGCTAGAGAATTAAATCAATCTGAAAATAAATAAATTATAACATTGATAATATGATAACATCA